CGATTCACGCGATGCAAGGTTAGTTTTATTTCAAACATTATTCTATCAACACAGACATTTACATCGACAGTCTGGTGTAATAATAGATTTGCTTCGGGTGCGCTGTTTTTAGTGGCAGGATAACTATGCCCATTGACATGCACTAGTCTAGCAGCAGCGACCTCTGCAAATACAAGGACTGGATTGAATATTTTAAAAAGTGTCTCCACACGTCTCCAACACTCTGGCTCACTAGGAAATGAGGTCCTATGTCCAAAATTCCGAACTGTCCCTTTAATCTTAGTCAGGACTATGACTCCCAACTTTGATTGGTTACTTATACAGCCAGTGCTATTGAAGGATAAGTCAGTTAAAATAAATTGGTTCTTTTGCAGTTTCCTCCTGGTTTCCACAGGCTTAAGTCTTTCGGTCAGTTTTTTGAAATCATATAATGGCAACAGTTCATATGTAGTCCACGTGAGCCCGTATCTGTTCTCACCACTGGCCTCTCACTGTCTCTGCACTTCATTTCCCAGCAGCCCTTGAGCCTGTCATCAGGTGCCAGCTCACACAGGTGTTAACAGTGAGCTGTCGTCACGGGGGCCTCTGGGTGTTGGAGCTTTTCCAGCATCTCTTCACACTTCAGCATGGTGCAGTTTGAGCTACTTTCTATTCAACTTCTCACAAAAGAAGTAATGCAATAGAAAAGCTGGCCTGCCCATACAGATCAACTGTGTTTTTTCTTGACCGATGCTGATGATTGTTTAGAATCTAGAAGAACTGATGACTGATGACTTCTGCAGTATTTTTAGGCAGATATGTAGAACTAATTTTGATTTTCCCCTAATTATTCAAACTAAATTTAATACAAAATCATCCACAACCTTCTTTTACTATGGACTGTGTAGAGTTCAGTGTAGTCAAATTTTTCCAGGACCCTCTTTAGACTAAAATGTTCAAATAAAGCTCTGTGTATATATTTTTCATGCATATTTAGGCTGCTGTTTGGGACAGGCAACATTTCAACCTTTGGAGATGTAAACAGACTGATAACAAAGGATTACTTAAACATGTGTGAATGAAACAACACACAACTCCAGGTATATGTTATTAGGTTATTTTTTCTGACCAAGAGTTTGTTTGCATACGTGACAGTTTTGACTGCTCTCTAGCGGTCTTCCTCAGAGTGGTCACGTGATGTTGCTGTGACGTGTCTGGTCAGCTGATTTAAACAGGTTTTGGGGCTGTCTTCCTACCGGAGGCAGGACGACAGCGCCATCAGCAGTCCAGCTTCCTCAGGATAGTATCCCAGGTGTGAGAGCAAAAAGACCCCTCGTCCCAGTTTATCATCCTGTGGGCGTGTTTCCATATTTCGACTGCCTCTTTAATCCAGCAACAGTGTTTGTTTTCCTCTGTCCCAATGATGTTTGCTCCATCTCAGTCCATAATGTGGTTCTGTCTTTTACAGTGGTCAGAAATGGCTGATTTGAGTTGCTTCTGTTCTGCTTTGTGTGTTGTTGCTTGTGTGCACGTCTTTGCTGTTTCCTTCTTGCATTCTGTCTTATTCGTGTACTGTAAGCCCTCCCTGTTTCACTGACGTATGTTTTATTGCAGGACCTGCAGGGTATTTCATATATGACATTACATTTATGCTCCGGTTCACCAAAACATATTTAAATTAAGTGACCTGACACGTCACAGCAACATCACATGACCACTCTGAGGAAGACCACTAGTGAGTAGTCGGAAACTGTCAGGTATGAAAACAAACTCTTGGTCTGAAAAAACCTAATAACATAAATTACTGAAAGACCAAATAAACCTCATTGGACTACAGCTCCAGGTATGTTTTTGAGGTAACATTGTAACATGGCTACAAGCTCACAGGAATTGTTTGTGTTTCATGTAGGACCTTTAAAGGCTATACTATATAAATCCTTTACTTTATTATATTGTCCAGCTATTGCACATAACCTTTATTTCCATTTTTTCCTTTTCATGTATTTATGTAGACAATATTGCCCAAGAATTTGACCCTTCGTTCCACTGCTTTCAGTCAAACTGCAGTCTCCAGGGACTCATCTCCAAAGCTTAAACCAGAATCTCGGTCAGGAATTAGACGTACCGAGTAAAAGGTTTAGCTATTAATATCCACCTAGAGACAGGCAGAACATGCAAACTCCACACGTAAAGCCCTCACAGAGACTCGCAAACCACTCAGACCACTATAACACCAAGGTCAACAATCACACGATCCTTTCTCCAAGCTTTATTGCGCCACTTAATCTCATGGCAACAAGCAGGACTTCCATTCTTCTGCTATTTATATCCACGCATGATCCCAGTAGCACAGGGTCAACATATGAGAAAGACCTTGCATCTGTTTGGCTCCGTATGCCCTCACGCGACACCAGGCCTTTCAGCTGTTCAGTCCGGCTCACCTCTGCTCCTCTCTCATCGGCCTTCACTCTGCGATAAGCCTGGCTCTGTTGGGAGAGATCTAGGCTAAGAGGTGGTACAAATCAGGAAGAGGGAGGATATAAGGGGGGGTTTCCATGTTTAGATGTGGTAGAGACGGTTCGAGTGTGAGACCCCCACTGCTAAAAACATCTCAGTTGGGTCTTCAAAGGTGCAGCAGGAGCCCGGGGTGTAAGAAACAAATTCAAACTGTAGGAGCATGGAGCAGATTGAGCACATGTGAGTACAATAACCACAAGACATTTATTCATATATTAACTCAGGAATTAACAATATCGAGTAATACTGTGTTAAATGTTGTTGTTCTAGTGTTAAAAGAAATAGAAATGTGAATCTACAATGTACAAAAATGCATGTTGCTTTGCTTTCTACACTGAACACTTAAAGGTGCACTGTGTAACTTTTCGGTTTGAGGGATCTGTCACCTGCATGTTTCTATGGACATGTCATTGCTTTGCCTGGAATGTTCCACAGTATGACGTTAAACAGCCCTGCCTCACGTTTATTCGATTAGTTTTATAGCTCACAAATACTTAGAAAAACAGGAGTTCTGATTGTGAGCGGGCTTGCCTCTCCACAGATCTGACCTGTAACTTGGTCTTGTTTGGTCTCCATGGAGATAGAAAGGTTCAATACTATACTGTGAAACATCTCAGACAAAACAATACCATCTCCATGGAGAAAAGCATTTGATGGACCCTCCACCAGAAAAGTTACACAATGAACCTTTAAGAGAATAAAATACTAATATAAAAAAAATAATAATAATAATAAATAAATAAATATAAATAAAAAAAAAAAAAATCTTAACCATTCAATGATACAGACATAATAAACAACTTAGAAAACAAATTAATATATGCATTTCCTGGAATGTTCCACAGTATGGCATTAAACTTCTATTAAGCATTTATTCACTTTCACATTTTTTCTGTGAGCGGGATCTCCTCTCCACAGATCTGACCAGTAGCTTGGCCTGGTAGCAGAGGTGGGGACTTGCAAGTTGTGACTTGGACTCAGAATCAGACTCGAGTCACTATTTTTAGGACTTGAGACTTGACTTGATAAAATGGACTAAGACTTGGGACTCGACCTGGACTTGAAGGTCAGTGACTTGAGAAGACTTGAGAAGCACTTTTAAATCTGAATTCTTTCTGTTCTGACCATAATGATTCTCACTAAGATCTTCTCAAGACATTTAAACAGGAAAAATGTACTAACTCTTATATACTCTTTAAATACTCATATATAAATATACCATTACTTTTTAAGTACTATGTAGTTTAAAATTCATGTAAATTGCAAAAATCTAAGCTACTTTTGGCTGAAACAGGCGACTTTGACTTGACTTGGACTTATGGGCCAGTGACTCGAGACTTGACTTGGACTTGCCTGTATTTGACTTGGGACTTGATTCGGACTTGTTGTCAAAGACTTGAGACTTATTTGAGACTTGCAAAACAAAGACTTGGTCCCACCTCTGCCTGGTATCTCCACTATAGACGAGTTTAATACCGTGGGTATTCCAGACAAAGCAATAACATCTCAGTGGAATCAAGCAGGTGGCAGACCCTCCATCAGAAAAGTTACATAGTGCACCTTTAATGTCGAAAACCTAATTCAGAAATGAAATATGTGATAGTGAAAGCTGTTTTTATGTCTTTTTTGATTGTACATTTCATTAATATCATTGACTTGTTACACAGAGAAGAGTATGGAAACAATAGTGATCATTATATTACAACGTGGCCCTCGTGATGTCCATTAGCTTGTTTAATAATTAAGAATTCACTGAGATATACAGCACTTTACAGGTTTAAAGCTTTACATGAAGTGCACTCAGGGTTTACAGAGAGAATTGTGATCAGCCACCCCTTTGACCTCCTTCATACAAACAGCTGCTTTCCTAGAACATTATAAAAGAGCCCTGCAAAAAAATATAAAAAAGCAAACAGAAAAAATTAAAAGAGAAATGAGAGTGTGGGATAAAAAGTTTTGAGCCTAAATTTAAACATTGTTAAATTAGAGGCCTGTCTGAATAAAAACTAAATACAAATTAAATTAAAATAAATAAACAGACTGCTTCATATTGGGGATGTAACGATATCTAAATCTCTGATATGATATGATATTTTCACGATATATATTTATTGTGATATTTTGTTGAGGCTCAAAACTGTGAAATATACAAAATTTTTCCTCTTAAAAAGACTTAATAAGATTTAAAAGTGCTTATAACAGTTATTTCTTCATGTAGTCTGCGCTGCAATGGAGCAAAGGATCATGGTCGATGTAGTTCCCTCTGTTTTTTTAGCTTTAGTTTTTTTGGAGAGTGGTCTGAATTAAAGCCAGGTCAGGCTGCAAGTGATGATGTCTGTCCCATGCAAAGAAATATTAACCAATCAAACTGGAAGGACAAAAAACATATTACACAATAAAGATATTCTGCAATTCCTCCACGGTAACAGCTGCTCCAGTGGTGGTCAGATCCGAGTCCCGAGGTTGCGCAGTGCTAAACCTGTCCAAGATCAAAACAAGGCTACATGTGGCACATCCATCAGTCTGGAGGGGGCAGTATTTTCAGACGCGACACGATCGTCCCTCCAGCAGGTCCGCTCGGCACAGACGGCGCGATGATTTACGGCTCCGTCAGAAATAGCACCACTTCCGATGTGTCCCGCTCCGCTTAGGCACCGCGACAAGTTTCCATGTGCGCTTTGGGCCGTCGGTGGGAAAGTCCAAAACCAGCACCAAGAAACTAGACTCCTACCGCCGCCCACTCAAACAGCTGAAGAGGTGTGAGGGTGAGGTGAAGACACGTGTGACCTGCTGTGGAAGATGGAAGAAACTGAAAAAATCACATCTATTTAACGTGGGGCTACAATGTTTTTGATTAATGATGTGGCATTAATAAAAACAAGTCAGCTTGTTTTGTTTTTAAAGTTGTTTGAAAGAAGCAGATCTTTTTCTTTATAGGTTTTTCTAGGCTTTTGAACAACTCTTTGGCATTAACGGATCCAAAAGATTCAGATCCCATAAAACAGCCGAAAGTCCCATCACTAGTTTTGATTTTCACACATGATTTTGTCAAATATAACTTGTCTATCTATAAGATCTGGCTATATTTGTCTAGAGCTGTCTATAAACATTCCTTTCTGTAACACTTTCTCGGGTAATTCAGTTTAATGGAGCATCTGACATGACACTTTTCAGTCCTTAAGAAACATTTCCAGCGCCCTCTTGTTCCAGGAATAGTGTGTGGTGGACAGTGTTGGGGAGTAACAGATTACATGTACCGCAGTTACGTAATCAGAGTACAAATTATGAGTAACTGTATTCAGTTACAGTTACAGTTTCAGTGAGTGGTAATTGGATTAACTTTACTTTGTAGAAATAAATGGATTACACGGCGGTATTTTCCTGTTTTCACATTTTGGGCTAAATCCTTTTTTTTTTCAGTATTTCTACTCATTGCTGAACACTAACCCAGGTCTAAAACCAGGACAAGGACTAAACCAGGACAAAACCAGGACAAAACCAGGACTAAACCAGGACTAAAACCAGGACTAAAACCAGGACTAAAACCAGGACTAAAACAGAACTAAAACAGGATTTAACAGGACTAAACCATGCTGTGTGGACCGTGTCTCCTCCTCCTCTTCTATCAATAATATTTTTTAATTTGGTTAAGTAACGTCTGGGCTTTTTATTTTCTTTTAGCAGACAAAACATCTTATGTTACGATATCCTAGTCTTTGCTTCTCTACAGCAAATCAAGTAATCCAAAGTATTCAGATTACGTTACTCACTTTAAGTAATTTAATGGATTACGTTACAAACTACATTTTGGGATGTGTAATCTGTAATCTGTAGGGGAATACATTTTAAAAGTAACCTTCCCAAACACTGGTGGTGGAGCAGCAGCTCTACTCTGAGCTCCTTAACCTTCACCAAGGAGGAAATATCTAGTGCTTAAAAATAGCGCATGGTCTGAAAAGCATCTGTATTTTAGACCACACCAGAAATAAGTGTTGGTTTCTATTCCTTCATTTATTTTTACTTTGCGCTTATATCACTGTGTGTGTCCTGGTTCAGGGGTGATGAGACTTGATTATATAATTGCTTTTCATTGGTCTTATTCTATTCATTTATTTCATCTTACAGGCGTATTTTTTATTTATTTATTTTATTTTTTTAATAGGCCATTTTGAGCACTTTCCACCCTAATGTTTGCTTTGATTGTTTATTGCTCTTGTTTTGGAATGTTGTTAATGTATTTCAGTTCATCACTGAAAGTGATCTGTGATGGAAATGTATATTGTAAGTTTAGTCTATCTTTGTATAAATGAATGTGATTTCAGTCAGAGACCCAGATCAGTTAAAGTTCAGCAGACACAACTGTCCCCATCCCACAGGAAACTGTAGTTTTACCTGTTTTCAAGTGTAAAAGTTGATTGACTTATGGCTGTGAAACAAAACGCGATCTGCTATGATTTGTATGTAACTTTGTATTTCTGGTATAAACAGTCAGAGCTCAGATGCTCTGGGGAGAGATGCAGGGAGACTTGCTTGGGATGGTCTTTGACCCGGACTGTCCCTGTCCTGTTTATCTTTTGTAATAAAGAATAAAATTTTTTTGGATTTCATAACTCACAATGCGTCCCAAAAAGCCTATTATTCATCAAGAGATATATATACATTTTCCACAACATTATCTGTCCTCAGATTCATCTGTAACAGTCTCCTCTCTGGTCTGTGTTTGCAGGGGACAGGCCCTGGAGCAGCTGGGGCCCAGGGACATACAAAGCACAGAGAACCCTGGAGAATACTGCTATGGTACAGCTCAGTGCAGCCCTCTTTACTGCTTCACTCACTCCAAACAGATCACACACAGAAGTGGATTTCACAAACAGCTTAACAGCATATTTAACAGCATTATAATCACACAGAACATAAATGTTCAGTTTACTTGTTTAGTTTCAGAGCAAATATACAAACACTTATCTCCAGTGTTCTGTGAGAGGCGGCCGCACGTGAAACCTATTTCTCACCGTGGACACGTTCAGCTCCACCAGATCCAAGGACACACACAGGTTTAGGCACTTTTCAGTCTTTTCCTCTCAACACAACTCAACTTAGTGTGTGGTTAATCTGACAGGCACATTGGTCGTCAAGACTAATAAAGTGAATCTGTCTTCAGTTACATGTTTTTTAATCTGCTCACATAAGCTCACATAAATAGAGGCCAATTCACACATCACTCTAGCATTTTAATCCTCGATTGTATTCCACAATTTTCACTGGCTTTCTCAGAACATATGATATTATTCCTATTGTACTGTATTCCCCATTGTATGATTCCAGGTGGCTACCATCCAGTGCAGATGGGTGATATTTTCAACAGGAGGTACCAGGTTCTATCCAAACTTGGATGGGGATATTATGCTACTGTGTGGCTGTGTCTGGACCTCAGGTACTGTGGAAATGGTAGTTCTAATCCTTTGACCTTCTTCCTCTATCCTTTTTCTCCCCGTGTTTGCCATTATTACCTTACAGTATAGTGAACATAAATATTGTTATTTACAAACAAACACAGTCACAAAATTGTGTTTTAAAATGTTAAAGTTTAAAACAAGTTTTAAAATGATGCCCTAGTTATTTGAATGTATATGTGGCTTGCTGTTGTGCAGGTCAGGTGGACATGTGGCAGTGAAAGTGCTGAAGAGTGGCCCTGGGTTTGCTCAGGCTGGACAAGATGAACTGGCTCTGCTCCGATGTGTCAGTCACAGTATTTACCACAATTCTTCTCCCCATTGAGCGTTAATACAATACATCTTTCTCAGTGTTTAATGTTTCTCACAGTGATTCCACCTTTGTTCTCAGGCTGGCAGTGCCACACATCGTAACTCACACAGCCAGAGGATAGTCCGACTGTTGGACGAGTTCAAAGTGGCTGGGGTCAATGGAGTCCGTATCTTACTGAAGAAATACATCATTTACAACCATTTTAAATAAACCACAACAGAACATAATGCATGACTTTGTCCTTAACATGACGCTCAGACATTTGCCTGGTCCTGGAGCTGATGGGCCCCAGTCTCCGCAGTGTGCTGTCGAGCTGTGGAACACCTGGATTGCCCCGACCTGTGGTCAAACAGGTCCTCACTCAGGTAAAATTATCATTCAACCTGCACACGCGCTGGGTTTTCATGCTTCATGCTTACATTCATCTGGACACTGATCTTAATTTTAAACATCGTTACTACATGTGCCTAACCTTAACCATAACCTGAACATATGCTAACCTATATCTGAACTTATATTACGCAATATTATATTATGCAATTTTCTGTTTTAATGTTGTTTCCTCATCAGAATCATACCCTGGGTTGTGTTTTGATTCATTCACAAACCCTGCATGTTTAGGCTGAGTTCTTCTCATAAATGGTAAACACTGTGTGTATGTTTGAAAAGGTTCTGCAGGGCCTGGCGTACCTCCACTTTCAGTGCAAAATCATCCACACTGACATCAAACCCGAGAACATCCTGCTGTGTGCAAACCAGACCAACTCTTCACCAGGAGGCACTGGCTGCTCCTCCGTCAACTCTGTCAACAACAACTTATCAGGTACTGTGAATCATAACTAATTACTTATAACTCCATAACTAATACTGGCATCTGTTTACTTACCAAACTCACCATCTGACTGTCCCTCCACCTTAGCTGACTATATATTTGTGAATTTCCATTAACCTGACTCAAAACCTTTCTATAACCTTACGAGCTGTCTACAATACTAATCTGTGACTAACCCTTTGACATGCTTAAAGGTACTATATTACACAGAATGGACTCTTGTGAGGTTTTACACTTATTGCAATGTTGTGACTTCCTCAAAAACATACCTGGAGTTGTGTTTAGCCGGTCTACATCTTCAAAGCTCAAAATTCTCTGTTCCACCTAGTGACGTCATGTAGTGGTAGTTTTCAAGTTAACAGCTCCTTTTACGTTGCCAGGCTGGCACCACCTAGTCCCTCCGCTCAATTGATTTTCTCTCCAGCAACTAGGTCAGGAATTGGAATACACTAGACGGTTTGCAAGAACCCCAGAAGTTGTAGACCGCACACCGGCCAATCAGCAAAGAGCTGTGAAGCCATGATCAAACTGCTTGTTCATGATCAAACTCAAGTGCCTGTCTGGGTCCCTTTTGTGGTACAGCACAACAGTAAACAAAGTGGTCGAGATGGATGTAGTCGAAGCCATACATTCTGTGTTGGCAATGATTCCCAAGATCGAGGATTTAAAGCCAGAACAAAGAGAACGTTTGGTGAATTTTATCAAGGGGAAAGACGTTATTGCCCTTCTTCCTATGAGATTTGGCGCATTACATACGTCACAACCAAATAGCAGCGATTGGTTAATTTTTTTTTTTTTTAAAGTACTCGCCTACCATCAAGCGAATGAATCCTAATGCTGGGAGGTTAGACGGTTTCCATGAAGTGAAACCAGCTGATGAATCAGGCTACCTTTTACCTTTACTTTAGTAGTACTTGGCCGTTTCAGCACTGAAGTTATCCAAATGAGCCCAGTGAAGGCGCATGGAGTTTAATAACACAATGAAGCGCTACCTGTGTCTTCAGATTGAGAGAAGAACTCAGCCTAAATATGCAGGGTTTGTGTGAATGAAACAAAACATAACTCCAGGTATGTTTGTGATGAGAAAACAACATTATAACACAGATCACAAAATATATTGACCCTACCAAGGTCTAACCACCTACAAAATAAGTCTTCAATCTTCATTTTGACTTATCTACCAAGTAACTACACCAATTTGGCAGCACTCCATCTTCCAGTTTAACTATATGGTAACTAAGGCTAGGCTAAACCTGCTCTCTTGAACGTGCATACTCTCTAGATTGAACATTGATATTTTAAGTACAGGTGGGTAAAAGGAAAATCCATAATTTCTTTTGTTGTGTATAGATGGAGACCAGATGTCCCTCCAGAGTCTGAAGCAGATAGAAGTGAAGATTGCTGACCTGGGCAGCTCCTGTTGGGTGGTCAGTCGCTGCTCTGCTCTCAGTCAGATGTAGCCAGTGTAAGATTAATGGAGGAGAAACACGAGTGCTGAGGAAGCTTCTGCAGATGGAGGGCTTGGAACTAAACTGTTTCTGATTCATGTATCCCATTCAGTAATACAGGCATGTAATTAGTAAATTGGCCTGAAGAGGAGGATTTCAAATAGGCACTGCAGCCATGTATAGAAGTACATAAAAGTAAGTCTGTCTAGTACAAAGTATCTGAAGACCAGTTTAATGTCAGACCCTGTATATCTGTCTATTTGAATATTTCTAACAGTGACTCATTCTCAAGTCTTACTGCATTATGTAGTAATACACTTCATGAAGTTTTATTATTATTAGTATTTATTATATTGTTTTTAATAGTAACTTTGAATCCCCTTTTCATTTATTTAGTTATGCTTTATTTCAGAATAGTCCCTCTAACATTTACAATTTGTTTTGGGCAAGTAGAGATTTACATTCTTATACAATGGAACATATAACATAAGTGAAATCATACTAGAAATGAAAATAACCACAACAGAAAATTTGCCTAAAAAGGAGTGGGAAGAAGAAAACGTATTTAATCCCACGCCCCTCTTCTAATCTAACACAATGAGCTTTCTTTTACATTTTTCAGACATTTTGAATTAAACTACAGGAACTGTTTATAAGTGTGAACAAAGAGTCACTGTTATAGCTTGGTAGTATAACATAAGCAAACCAACAATGGTACAATCTCAACGTTTTGTGGCCCCAGAGTGAACCACTTTGTTCATATTTTAGTGGTAGAGAAACCAGAGTACCTGAAGGATACACATGTCTTTATCTCTTTTTCCTGAGCAGTACAAGCACTTCTGTGAGGAGATCCAGACCCGGCAGTACCGCTCTCTGGAGGTTCTGGTGGGGCTGGACTATGGGCCTCCTGCTGACATTTGGAGCGTGGCCTGTATGGTCAGTTTCATTGTACAGTAGTTACACGTCCATACTCTTCTTATATTACAGATAACATGAGTCTCTGCTTCTTCAGACCTTTGAGCTTCTCACTGGAGACTCTCTTTTTGAGCCCAGAGCAGCCAACTCCTGCTCTCTGGAAGAAGGTATCACCTCACACCACCTCATGCTATTTTCTGATCGATGTTATAATGCTTCCTCATCACAAACATACCTGGAATTGTGTTGTGTTTTATTCACAGTAAAGCCCTATTTGCACGGGATTAGTGTTAACTGTGGATCTTTGGTGATTTGTAATAATTGTGGAGGATCCCATGCGAATATGCCATGTCTGTAATTTGTAAAGTAAAAATTCCGCTGCAAATTACCTACTATACTTCATCAAACACAGATGTCCGATGATAACACTAGTCCTGTGTGAATCTGCATCTCAGTGTTTGTTGCTCCTTTTCTATCTCTTTGTTTTTTTTCCTGTTATTTTCTCTTTCAATCAATGTGTCAGTGTCAAATAAATGTAAAATAGAATAATTTACAGACTTCTGTTATCCTGTGCGAATGTGTTGCAAGGAACACAGAGGTGGGGCGGCAATTTGCAAATTACAAGTCGTCCCCAGGTTGTACTTATCCCGTGCGAATAGGCCTTAACCCTATATTTAAGTTCCGTTTGAGAGTTCTTCTCTCAATGGTTAACACTCTTCACCTTGTGATGTCATGTGCTGCTCCGTACATCTTCACTAGAATCACTGTGATAATTTCAGCTCTAGAATTTCCAAACTGCACAAAAGGTTAAACGTAGCTGTTAACTTTAAAACTACTTCTTCATGACATCACAAGGTGGAGCAGAGCGTTTTGAACTTTAGAGATGTAGACAGACTAATGATAAACCTTTAAAGCAAAGTGCCCAGTGTACATTATAGAGCTAATGATAAAAGTACAGCACATAACCTGGCGTTCACCCCTGGCCGGTGCATTAGGATATGGCCCACAGTATAGACCAGGCCATAAAGGTGTATTGATTGTCTTCTCTCTTTCAGATCATATAGCTCAGATAATGATGCTGCTGGGTAAAATCCCTCCAGCCATCGCACTGACTGGAAAATACTCCGCAGAGTACTTCAACCGCAGAGGTCACTGAACATTACCAAGACTAGAGTTTCTATTACACTATTTGTACATTGAACCTGCAAACCCATCTTCCTTTTGTTTTTTGTTTCATGCAGGAGATTTGCTGAGAGTGGGTCCTGTGAGATCCTGGAAACTCTACGACGTCCTGGTGGAGAAATACCACTTCAGGTTGGAAGAGGCGTCAGACTTGTGTGACTTCCTGTTGCCCATGTTGGAGTATTATCCCGAGAGGAGAGCCACAGCTGTACACTGCCTCAGACACCCCTGGCTTTGCTCCTGACCACAGCAGGCCCTGAAGTGTTAAAGGTGCATCGTGTAACTTTTCTGGTGGAGGGTCCGTCACCTGCTTGTTTCTATAGCCTGGAATGTTCCGCAGTGTGACATTAAACAGATCTACCTTACATGTTTTCAATTACAGGTGGTTTTATAGCTCAGAAAACAGGTATTCTGACTCTCCACAGACCCGTAGAGGTGTGCAAAAATACTGAAATATCTATATCTTGAGCTACAATTGTGAAGACATTTTCATTGTTTTGATGAGTAAAATTGGTGTTTTTCATACTAACTGCACAAACTCAGTGGATTTAGTAGACTTAATAGACTTTTAGTATCACAGCCATTATTTTGCCTTTGTTTTTCACAGAACCGTTTTGAAATATATCGTATTGAATCATATTGAATCAAAAGTGCACTGCATCTAAAAACATATCGTATCGTGGCCTGCGTATCGAGGTATGTATCGTATCAGCAACTTCTTACTAATACCCAGCCCTCCCATTCCAGACTAAGCACTAACATCTCCATGAAGAAAAGCATTTGACGGACCCTCCACCAGAAAAGTTACACAATGCACCTTTAAAGTGTGTATGAAAGCTTTTCATATTTTTTTTTATAATCATGACTTTTTAGTGAGCTTGTACATGTGGGGAATATTGATCATAGTTTTACACCAGAATCAGTTTGTGAAGATTTTGTTTAATAAAACTGAATATTGCGTACCTGACCAGCCAGAACCACACACTTTGACAAAACTTTACAAAGATGAGTTGATCTAGAGCTGTATCCTGTCTCCCTGTTTTCAGAAGGTGTGCTTGACTGACAGGCAGATTAACCAATCAGAGAGACGCATGGTCCATTTGTGTCAAAAACAAATATGTGTCCTGACCTGTCGCTTTAAACACTCTGCCGGCTCAGGTTATTTTAAAAGGTGCTACGTAGATCATGTTTCTTATGTTTCCAAGTGACTTCTTTGTACTGTAGTTTAATCTTGCACTTTATACAACTGTTCAGAGAAAACTGTTGGTATTTTGTTTTAGGTGCCAGTGTAGCGATATTTCTATAATTTGATTTATACATCCCGTACTGGGGAAACAGTCCTTGTGAATTTCAATTTGATTTTTATTTGAATCTTTTGTACTATCACGTGTTTTAATTAAATGTAAAGAGAACAACTAAAGCCCCTCTCTTTCCTTTGTTGTACTGTTTATTATGGAAATAGACATAGTTAAAGACATTTTTACCAGAATGTATGAAAATATGTAAAATTCAAAAAAGAAAATGAAATCATTATTAGGAAAACATGCAAAACTCACTCTTAATTTTACAATATTGTCAACTGTTCATCTTCAAAACTGTTAATTTACAAAAACACTCTATATAAACATAATCTATCTATACATCTAATATTTTGTAACTTTTCTAGCGGTGATATCAGTGTTTTACCTTATGCAATATATAACAAATATGTATTTATGCATGTAATGTGTACTATAAAAAAACTACATGTTTAATAACTATTCACAATGTTAATCTAGAAGAGTCTAATTGGTTGTATGCACAGGACTGCAGAAAAACACTACAGGTCAAAAGTTTTAGAACACCCTAATTTTTCCAGTTATTTATTGCAGTTCAGTTTGTACAAGCTTGAAATGGTACAAAGGGAAGAACTGAACAGCCAGAGGTTAAGTGAAGATAAAAGATAATAAAACACAAGTTCAAGATCTGACAAAATTACCTCAGGAAAAAAGAACAAGACCTTGAAAACATGGAGTGTCCAGCACAGTGTCCAGACTTAAACCCCATCGAGCTGGTTTGGGATGAACTGGACAGAAGAGTGAAGCAACCTGCAAGTGCCACACAATTATGGGAACTTCTCCAACAGACTTGGGAAGAGGTTTCTAAAGAATATTTGATTTCTGTTGTAAAAAGAATGAGCCACGAGTGTGTTCAGCTGTTGTATCTGCCAAAGGTGGACACTTTCATGAATCAAAAGTTTAGAATACGTTTTGGTCAACAGTAAACAGTAAAGACCTGGAAAAAGTGTGGTGTTCTAAAACGTTTGACCGGTAGTGTATCAACTCTCTTTTGCTGCTCTGAACCCGTACACTGAGCACACAAATACCCATAGAAAATGCTGTATTTCTGTTCTGCCACTTGTAGTCTCCACTGGACTAACTCACTCAACTTAGTGCTGTTGAAACACTCCACACTGACATTTCACGGTGAAGTCTATTCAGAGCCAACAGAGACACTTTTTTAAACACTTCCATAGTGTTATATATTCTATGTTGTTCATCCAATCCAGCTGTAAGCCCTGCACTCCACCAGAGGCTTCTCTTTGTACACCACCCTGTATCCACACTGGGTCCTGATGCGCTGACACTTGTTGGGCCATGACGTGGGCTTCATTTGACTAAACAAAACAAAACAAAACAAAAAAAGATTTAAATTATACAGAAAAGTAGTAAGTATATCACACACAGATATATTTACTCACGTGATGCAGTAGGCCCCGAACTCATGGCAGTAACACTTGTCACAGCCGCGTCGAAATGTGTCTCCTGGTTTGTATAACTTATCTTTATGGGAGCAAATGCCTGGAATAGAAACGGTATGCTTACTAATCCAATAAATCATTGAGAATTGTGTGATTACAGTATAAATTGTACATTTAAACTGGGCACAATTTCAGAATACATCTCCTGACGCTTTGTAAAGTATAACCCAGGTCAGCAAAGGAGTGTGTTCCAGGGATAAGACAAATTATGAGTTATCATGTAAGACTTAGATAGAAATGCTCAAGAATTTTGTATTGCGATTTATGCAAGATTTAAGTATAAGTTATAGTTTTTTCTACAGGCATCCTTTTCCATAGTAGGACAATGAATGCATTAATGCTTTAAAGCTCAGGTATCTGATTTTTAAACGATAAAACAAGGGCGTTAGAATTTAAATCAATCAAACTTTTCACAAGCTCTCGCACATTACTAGAATTCACATGCATATATATTTTGGTCATAGCACAGTTTTAGAGCAGTTTTTCAGGTGGAAAAGTGAAGCAGGGTGGAGCACTCTTGCACAGCCAATCATCTCTCATCCCAAAGCATCGTAATGACTTCCATGGCTCTTTCTTACAACTTTGTTATCTATGAAATGTTTAATAATTAGTTTTCTCAGATAGGTAAATGCATAGGCCTGTCATAATTATTACTATATCGACTTATTGTTCAATATATGTTCATGTGTATGTTTTCTTTGTAAAAGTGGAGAGATATGGGGTATTTTTGTTGTTGATTTGAGCTGTGCAGGGTTGAATAACTAAAGTCTATAGCTAATTATTTCTACATTCTGCCATTTATTTGCCTTTTCAATGAACTGTGAATTTAAAAATAGTTTACTGGCATTATAGTTATTAAATTAGTAGCATAAAGCAGTTTAAACATGATCATTTATCATAATATATCTCTGTAGCAATATATCGTGCTTCAAAATATGTTATTGTGACAGGCCTAGTAATGCAGCTTTAATTTGATTTGGTGTAAAAAAAAAATAATGATAATGAAAAGATCTCACTATTTTGACAAGCTAAGCCCCCCAGAACCATCTAGAATAATAGAATAGAGTCCTGCTGAAGAGTTGAGTTGAGTGACCTTGTCCACTGTCTCTGTCCCTCCTGTGTCCCTCTGTGTCCCCTCTGTGTCCCTCTGTGTCCCTGTGTCCCTCTGTGTCCCTCTGTGTCCCTGTGTCCCTCTGTGTCCCTCTGTGTCCCCGTGTCCCTCCTCTGTGTCCCTCTGTGTGTCCCCTCTGTGTGTCCCTGTGTGTGTCCCTCTGTGTGTCCCTGTGTCCCTGTGTGTCCCTCTGTGTCCCTCTGTGTCCCTCTGTGTCCCTCTGTGTCCCTCTGTGTCCCTCTGTGTCCCTCTGTGTCCCTCTGTGTCCCCTCTGTGTCCCCTCTCTGTGTCCCTCTGTGTCCCTGTGTCCCTCTCTGTGTCCCTCTGTGTCCCCTCTGTGTCCCTCTGTGTCCCTCTGTGTCCCTCTGTGTCCCTCTGTGTCCCTCTGTGTCCCTCTCTGTGTCCCTGTGTCCCTCTGTGTCCCTCTGTGTCCCTCTGTGTCCCTCTGTGTCCCTCTGTGTCCCTCTGTGTCCCTGTGAGCACTCGGTCTCCATGGGACACTCTGTCACCTTGAGCTGGGATCAATATGAGCTCACGCTGGGCCCTGAACAGTCCCACTGGGAGGAGGAGTCACACCACAGGACCCCGGAGCTCCCCCTGTGGCCCAAACACGTCACTGCGCCGCATTGATTTCTGTGAGCTGTGCAGAATGCAGTGACCTCGGGCAAATCTACAAACTGAGAAGCCCATAATGTGGAGTCATAAATCAGACAAATGCTGTCCAAAATGTGCTCTTTGTGTTTAGAGTCCGCATAGCCTCCAGGTGGGACTGTGAGTTCTGTGTCCTCTACATGCAGGTTGGAGAATATTTGCTGTACTCAGTGAATAAGGGAATAAAAGAGGGAAAGCTTTTAGACTCTTTTTTTCTTTTTTTTTGACCTTTATTTAACCAGGATAGTCCTTCTGAGATTAAAGTGCCTATGACAGATTAGACTACGCATTTGATTAAAACGCATTTGATTATTTAAAATTTTTGTAAAACCATTCACTCTCTTTTTCCAATTTGTCAATCTTTTAAGCTTAAAAATTTACTTCCTTTTTGGAAATTGTGATATCACACTCAGGATTTCCTAACTGTTACTGAAAAAAAGTACTCAAACTACTAATGTACACAGAAATTATTATCTTACAAATGAAAATGTAAGAAAACACCTTTATTCTGTTGAAATCATGTTTAAAGTATCAGAAAATGATTGTATCTTAAGTGTGAAATATTGAATTCTCCCTAGTGTGAAGTCATCAATATGTTTGAATTCTACTTCCTGTTATTTTCAACACATTTTTCAACTTTTCTTCACAAACTGCTTCTTGATTTATTTAAAACCACCATTTATATTTT